CAAAGGCCCCAGCTTGTGTCCTGGGCACCTAATGAGAGGTTCGCCTACCTTACAGTATGCTGGGGTCCATGGAGGGGGAAGGTGAGATACGGAAGGGCTTGCTAGAGGCCGGCCCCTGAACAGGAGAGGGCTCAGTTCAAGAAGCAGGTACGGAGCCGGGAGTTGGTGGTGCACACCTTTAATCCCAGTACTCGCGAAGCAGAGGCAGGCAGATCTCTGTGAGTTCGAGACCAGCCTGGACTACCAAGCGAGTTCCAGGACAGCCTCCAAAGCCACAGAGAAACCCTGTCTCAAAAAACAAACAAAAAAGAACCAGCTATGATGCTGAGCCCATGCCACACCCAGGGATACTGAAGATCAGGGAGCTCCAGCAGTTTAGTCCCTGTAGATAATTTGGGACTTTGGAGTCAGCTGGAGCTCCCACTAACCCCAAATAACATTCAGGTGATGATTATTATTCACAGTAATCAATGAGTGTTTTTTTCTAAATTTTATCTTATTTTTGATGTACTTTATTTTACTTATTATTTATTTACTTTTTTTATTTTTCAAAACAAGGTTTCTCTGTGTAGCCCAGGCTGGCCTGGATGGAACTCAGAGATTCACCTGCCTCTGCCTCCTGAGTGGTGGGATTAAAGGCATGTGCCAGCACTATGGGGCTCCTAAAGTCTTTTTTTTTTTTTTTTTGAGACTTAGTGTATACTAGGCTGACTTTAAACTTACTGTGTGGTTGAGATACCCTTGAAACTTCTGATCCTTCTTCTTCTCCCTAAGTACTGGGGCTACAGGCATGCACCACCTCATCCAGTTCAAGTGTTGCTAAGAACGGTACCCGGGACCCTATGGATGTAAAACAAGAGACTGGGCTACATCCACCAGGGAGATGGCGGCCAGGAGATCAGAGGTTCAACGTCACCCTGCATTAAAAACAACAAACAACCAAAAGCAACCACAATCAAACACATGGCCTGACACAGACCCTCCACAAGGCATTTACTCTCCCACATCTTCTCCTCAGGTATTCACCTGTGGGTGGTGACTCCAGCAGGGAGGCCAGAGCCTAAAGCACCGCCTACCAGGGACTCTGTTGTGAAATATTACTTAACCAGGTAAAGATGTGTTGCATTTGTTTATGCTGTGGAACATTACTTTAACTATGGGAAGGTGTGTTACATTTGTATATGCTGCGGAGTATTACTTTAACTATGGGAAGGTGTGTTACATTTGTATATGCTGCGGAGTATTACTTTAACTATGGGAAGGTGTGTTACATTTGTTTTTGTATATGCTGTGGAGTATTACTTTAACTATGGGAAGGTGTGTTACATTTGTTTTTGTATATGCTGTGGAGTATTACTTTAACTATGGGAAGGTGTGTTACATTTGTATATGCTGCGGAGTATTACTTTAACTATGGGAAGGTGTGTTACATTTGTATATGCTGCGGAGTATTACTTTAACTATGGGAAGGTGTGTTACATTTGTATATGCTGCGGAGTATTACTTTAACTATGGGAAGGTGTGTTACATTTGTTTTTGTATATGCTGTGGAGTATTACTTTAACTATGGGAAGGTGTGTTACATTTGTATATGCTGCGGAGTATTACTTTAACTATGGGAAGGTGTGTTACATTTGTTTTTGTATATGCTGTGGAGTATTACTTTAACTATGGGAAGGTGTGTTACATTTGTTTTTGTATATGCTGCGGAGTATTACTTTAACTATGGGAAGGTGTGTTACATTTGTATATGCTGCGGAGTATTACTTTAACTATGGGAAGGTGTGTTACATTTGTTTTTGTATATGCTGTGGAGTATTACTTTAACTATGGGAAGGTGTGTTACATTTGTATATGCTGCGGAGTATTACTTTAACTATGGGAAGGTGTGTTACATTTGTATATGCTGCGGAGTATTACTTTAACTATGGGAAGGTGTGTTACATTTGTTTTTGTATATGCTGTGGAGTATTACTTTAACTATGGGAAGGTGTGTTACATTTGTATATGCTGTGGAGTATTACTTTAACTATGGGAAGGTGTGTTACATTTGTATATGCTGCGGAGTATTACTTTAACTATGGGAAGGTGTGTTACATTTGTATATGCTGCGGAGTATTACTTTAACTATGGGAAGGTGTGTTACATTTGTTCAAGCGGCCTTTGTTTAATTATGTTAGGATGTGTTGTGTTTGTTTCTCCTGGCCTGCCTAAGGCGCCTGACTGGTCTAATAAAGTGCTGAGCAGCCAATAGCTAGGCAGGGGTGGTGCTGATGGGCAGAGAGAATAAATAGGAGAGAAGAAGGAGAAGAGAATGAGGGAGGAAGAGAGAGACATGCCCAGGGCCAGCTAGACAGCTGTCAGACAGCTAGATGGAGTAGGATGTACAGAAGGAAAGAAAGGTAAAAGAACAAAAACCAAGGCAAAAGGGAGATGAGAAACAGGTTAAGTTATAAGAGCTAGCAAGAAAGGAGCCTAAGCTAAGACTTGGCGTTCATAACTAATATTAAGTCTCCTTGTCATGATTTGGGAACTGGCTGGGGGCCCAAAAGAAGCCGATTACAGGACTCAACTGGAAGACAGCACGTGATGCAGGGTGGAGCCACCCAGGACTCTTAGGAAAAAAACAAAAAACAGGAAGCAGCAGAAGGAAGGCCCCATTGTGATGCTGGGACACTAGGGAGATCCAGAGGAACAAAGGGACATCTTTGGGGACCATGCCACTCCCACTGTGCCCAGGGACTCTCCCTGTCATGCCAACCAACAGAGCCCTTAACCCACTCGAGCCCAGGGTTTCTCGTCTTTACAGCTGGAAGCGACGTGTGCTGCAGGCTCCTCGTAGAAGCGTGCTTAGAGCAGAAAGGCACAGGCTCGAAGGAGAAGATAAAAGCCGCCTGAAACCCCCGTGCAGTCATGCTTGCTTTTCCATCTTTTAAAAACAAGGCACTTAGGCCGGGCGTTGGTGGCGCACGCCTTTAATCCCAGCACTCAGGAGGCTGAGGCAGGCGGATCTCTGTGAGTTCGAGGCCAGTCTGGTCTACAGAGCGAGTTCCAGGATAGCCTCCAAAGCCACAGAGCTGTCTCGAAAAACCAAAAAAAAAAAAACAAGGCAGTTATAGAGGCATGAAACGAGATCCTGAAGTGCAGAGAGCAACACACCTACCTTTGCCAGAACAAAACCAAAACCAAAGCCAAAACATGACCAGCACAGTGTCTGAATGCCCGTGGCAAGCACCTCCCACAAGCCATCTCTGATGGCCGTTTCTGCCGTCTGAGTCGCTTCCGGGCAGCCTGCCCGGTCTATCTGTTTTCTGAGGATATTGGCTATGAAGTGCTTTAGCCTGTATAAGCCACAGACAAGCGAACCGTGTTGTCTCCAGTCTAGCTGGATGTCTGGGCTCTGAGAGCGGGAAAGCATTTCCAAGCCTTCCTGCAGCAGGCTCAGCTCGGGCAGGGCATCAGTGGGGCGAACAGGCTCTGAGAACCAGGGGAGGATCCGGGTCAGAGTCCCGGGGTCACCATGAGGGCCTATGTGACCGTTTGCAACTCATTCATTCTGGGTTCTTTTCCTTCCCTGCAGCATGGGAATAATGAGGTCTGTTCTACAGCTGTGGAAAGGAAGGGTTGAAGCTGATGTCTCTGCAAATGGAGGCTGTTATCCAAAACCTTTGCCAGCTTCTTCACCGCTTCCTGGACTCCACTTCCAGACGTCTGCTCTTTCTTCCAGCCCCCTGATACCCATGCTCTGCCTGTTGCAGCAGGTGGCTGGCTGGGGGTGGGGGGTGGGGCGGGGTTGCAGACAACAGAATTCACTCCAGCTAGCTCAAGCAAGGGGGTGATGATGGAACACGGAGCTCCTCGAATTGTGTATAGGCCCTGAGTGGACGCCTGGGTCAGCCAGCAGCCCAAACATCCTGAGGAACTTTAGGCCCACTAGGAAGCTGCCAAGCCCCGCCGCCACAGCACCTCTTCAGGACCCAGCCCCCAGTACCACTGCCCATACAAACCCAACTGACTCCTTGTCCCTGCCGCCTCTCAGACTATGCTTCCAGACAGAGTCTCCTGCAGGAACACTCGACTCTATGCCTCACGTTGGATGACCAGCAGGTTTCAGATTTCCATGCTGTAAGGCAATACTTACAATAAGAATTTGGTGAGGGAGTCCAAGAACTCTGGGGCAGAGGCTGAGAATGTAGCTCAGTGGCAGAGAATTTGCCTAGCATGTAGCAGGCCCTGAGGTTTCATCCTCAATGCATAAGATAAAATAATAAATTAGGATGGTCTGGGGTGTGGCTCAGTGGGTAAAGTTCTTGCTTAGCGTTTGTAAATCCCTGGGTTCATTCTCAACCGCGCATGAACCCAGTGTGCACGTCTGTAATCCCAGCCCAGTGTGCATGTCTGTGATCCCAGCCCAGTGTGCACGTCTGTAATCCCAGCCCAGTGTGCATGTCTGCGATCCCAGCCCAGTGTGCATGTCTGTGATCCCAGCCCAGTGTGCATGTCTGTAATCCCAGCCCAGGTATACATGTCTGTAATCCCAGCCCAGGTATGCATGTCTGTAATCCCAGCCCAGGTATGCATGTCTGTAATCCCAGCCCAGTGTGCACGTCTGTAATCCCAGCCCAGTGTGCACGTCTGTGATCCCAGCCCAGTGTGCACGTCTGTGATCCCAGCCCAGTGTGCACGTCTGTGATCCCAGCCCAGTGTGCATGTCTGTAATCCCAGCCCAGGTATGCATGTCTACAATCCCAGCCCAGTGTGCATGTCTGTAATCCCAGCCCAGTGTGCATGTCTGTAATCCCAGCCCAGTGTGCACGTCTGCAATCCCAGCCCAGTGTGCATGTCTGCAATCCCAGCCCAGTGTGTGCACACCTGTAATCCCAGCCCAAGAGACAGAGGCAGAAAGATCAGAAAGAAGTCAGGGTCACCCTTGGTTTCATATCCAGTTCAAGGATAGCCTGGGGTTCATGAGACTCTGTATCAAAAATAAATTCCCTGGATGTGGTGACAAACAACTTTAATCCCAGCACTTGGTGGAGGGCAGGGGCATTCAACAGTCCTTCCCCAGTGGGCCCCTTCTCCAGGGCCCTTTGAAGTTCACTTTTCAGAATGTTTTTCAAAATGGATCTCTGACTGATGACCCTCTGGGCAAGAAAGCAAATGTCCTATCAAGGACATTGTCAGTTCAGGCTAATCTGGGAGGAAGGTTAGGCCAAGGTCAGGTTCTTCACATCCCGAGCTTCTGCCTTTCCCTTGGCGTGGGATCAGAACGTGTCTGCAGAGTCTTTCGTTTCTGGGATCATCACAGCCTTTGCAGGGGTGGGAGGCACCTGTGGGTGTAAACCTGCCGGTTTATGTAAGCCAGGGATGACGTATGTAACAGAAGCATGTGCTGTTGGAACGTAAGGCTGCTTTGGGTGAAGACACCATTAGCTGCCTGCAATTATGCTCTGGGATGTACTTTCCTCTTCACTGTGATTACACTGTCATCAAATACATACTTAAAAAATCCCACAAGTGGATAAAAGAATGTTGATTATTGCCATACTTGAGACATGCATTCCTTTTTAGTATATCTTATTTATCGAGTGTGTGTGTGTGTGTGTGAGAGTGTGTGCATGTGTGTGTAAGTCAGAGGACAAACTGAAGAACTTGCAGATCCTGCGTATTGAATTTGGGTGAGCTGCCTTGGAGGCAATAGCTGAGCCCTCTTGCTTGTTTCCTTGTCTATTCTCCCAGGCAACTCCCGATCCCTAGGGATCGTCCTCTGGGCTAACTTTCTTGCTACATGCTGAGGATCTGAGACTCAGGCTCCTAAGAGCAAGGGCTTATTCTTCCTACGCATTCCCCCATGACTCCAAAGACCAGTGGCCTCTGGATTCTCCTGCCTGCCTCAGTGTAGATAGTGATTTGTTCTTTTTGGTGAGCTAGCTCACGGGGACCCTGCTTGGTAAGCTGGCAAAGCCCAGACTGCCTTCATCTTGTTGGCAGCAGTGGGACGGTTCTTGGAAGATATCAGTTATTTCTATTCTATTTGATGAATTAATGTGCCAGTCAAAGCCTGCGCTCCCTGAATAATACGGCAGGCACTGTGGAGCGGCGTGTGTGTCACAAACCAAATATAGGTGGCAGCTTTAGGTGGTCAGCCTGTAGGCGTGCCGGTATGCATATCGGTAACAATTACAGGAAGGAGGCGTAATTATAACCTTGGTTCAGGAAGCATGTCTTATCTCAGACTCTGCTGGGGCCCAGGCTCTCCCTGGGTTGACTGGCATTCCTGAACCCGAAGCTAGAAATGGTCTGAGCTCTGGTTATCTTTGTGCTTGGTGGCACCCAGGACCAAATTACATAACAGAAAATGTCCGTTCTCACTGAGCACGTGGGAGGTTCGGAAGGCAGTGCCCACGCTGGGTGGAGATTAGAAGCCTTCTGAGTGAGTCACATGCCTTCCTGAGCCACCCCTTGTAATTAGGGTGACACACCGTCCTGTTGGCACGGGACAGTCTTGCTGTGTGCCTGTCAACTGACGGTATTTATTCACAATACCCCCTTTTCCCTGTACATTTGAAGCTGGCTGATGTCCCCGGGTGATCTTCATGGAGGAGGAGAGAGGCTGGGGGATACCGTGATGACAGAGCATCCAGTGAGGAAGAGAAGACGGGGAAACAGACTTCTCCCACGCCTTGAGCAGGTGTTGCCTTCCCTCGTGGCTCTGGGTATCACATACCTCCAGCCACGTGGGCACTGGCATGGCTATCATGAGCCAGGACTGGAAAAATCAGGTTACTCCTGCCGTCCAGTTGTCCCCCGATGACACACAGGTTTGCCTCCGGCTCCCAAGCCTTTGGTTCCTGGTTCTAGGCTGAAAGGAACTTTAGGGTCAGCCTTGAGCAGGGTTGGCCAACGTCGGAGCAGCCTTGTCTGTAGGGTCTTACCATGCGTGGCCCTCCAAGCACCACCGTAAAAAGCCAGACTGTTCTTCCATCCTCCACAGCTTGTGGTCTCCAGGGTGAGCATCCCGTGGTTTGAGGGAGGGCTCAGAGAGCTGTAGGAAGTTCTCTTCCCATTCTGACAGGATGGCTCGGGGGAGGAAGGGTTTCTTCTGTCTCACTGCTTTGGGGGATTCACAGCACTCTGTTGGCCTGTGTAATTGGAAGAACGTTGTGGCAGTGTCCAGCAGTGGACCTGCCACGGTGGACAGGACCCAGCCCGTGGGATGGTACTAGAGGGGCCCTCCCATTTCAATTAACCCAGTGCCCAGAGGTTTGTCCCCTAGGTGGTTGTACATCCTGCTAAACAGACAGTCAACAGTAACCATCACAGCTGGCTTCCACCCATCTCCCCTCTACTCCTCCCATGCCTGCAGCCCATGAAGTCAGACTGCTTACATTCGGGGCACGTCTTCCCGGGACAGCCCAGAGGTGTACCTCCATCTTCTAGGTAATTCTAAATCCAGTCAATTTGACAGTGGAGATAACCATCATAACCTCCAGCCAGGCCTCCTGCCCAGTTCTGTAGTAACCGGAGATTTTACATTCCATGGTTCTTGCCAGTGTTTCTTTCAGAAGGAGACATCCAGGGTCACTAAGAGGCCAGCTCCCCTGAGCAATTCACTGGTGGCAGGCCCACTCCACAGGGAAAGTGCTTGTCTTAGGCTTGTCCCAAGAAGTTCTGGATAATTCATCAGCTCTGCTGAAGGTGACGACTCTCATCGGTCACCCATGCTGCTCGTGTGGACAACTCGTTAACTGCACAGTGAGCGAGCTCCAGGTTGGCCTGGGTACAGAGACCCTGCATGAGAGATACAAGCTAATAAATAAACAGAGAAGCACCCTCACCACCGCACAACGACCACACGCCCACCAGTGTCTGACGAAGGTGTCAGCTGGGTCTCTGCAAGTCTTCCAAAGTGTCCCCGCATACAGACGACTTGAAGATTCTTAACCCAGGAAAGTAAGGAAAGACAGAAGCCATTGGGTGGATCCCTTAGAAAAAGCCAAAACAGCCGGGCGTTGGTGGCGCACGCCTTTAATCCCAGCACTCGGGAGGCAGAGGCAGGTGGATCTCTGTGAGTTCGAGGCCAGCCTGGTCTACAGAGCGAGTTCCAGGACAGCCTCCAAAGCCACAGAGAAACCCTGTCTCGAAAAACCAAAAAAAGAAAAAAGAAAAAAAAAAAAAGAAAAAAGAAAAAGCCAAAACAGGCTGGTTTGGATTTCATTGTAAAGATGGGGTATAGGAGTAGGGCATGTCGGCGCACGTGTGTGAACCCCAACTTGCAGGAGGCTGAGGCAAGAGGACTGCTGTGAGTCTCCGACCAGCCTGGGCTACATGGGGAGGGGAGAGGGGAAAAAAAGAGGGAGAACTATTAAGGAAGACCTCTGACCTCTGACCTCTGACCTCCACACACAGAGGTGCCCACATGAGCAGGCACAGACACACAGGACTACAAACAAAACAAGCTGCTCATTAGGAATGGGTCTGGCTCAGCAGCTGAGTGCTTGCTTAGCATGGTCAAGGCTGGAGTTACAGGTCTACAAGCACACACACGCACACACGCGCGCGCGCGCGCGCACATACACACACATACACACACGCACGCGCACATACACACACATACACACACGCACGCGCACATACACACACATACACACACGCACGCGCACATACACACACATACACACACGCACGCGCACATACACACATACACACGCACGCGCGCATACACACACATACACACACGCACGCGCGCACACACACGCACATGCACACACCCATACATACATGCAAACACACATGCACACACACACCCATACATAGACACAAACACACATGCATACACACTCATACACACACACCCATATATACAACACACACCCCCATATATACACGAAAACACACATGCACACACACACCCATACATACTCATAAACACACATGTACACATACATACACACACCCCCATATGTACACACAAACACACATGCACACACACCCACACATACACACCCATACATACATGCAAACACACATGCACACACACTCATACATATACACACCCATATATACAATACACACACCCATATATACACGAAAACACACATGCACACACACACCCATACATACTCATAAACACACATGTACACGTTCATACACACACACCCATGTATACACACAAACACACATGTACATACACCCACATGCATACATACTCATCAACACACATGTACACATCCATACACACACACACAGATGGAATACATAAATAAGCAAATATCCCTCACTGAACTGGGGCGTGGCTGAGGTGGAGTGTAGGTGTGGTCCTGGGTCTAAGCCTAGCAACCCGAAGTGGGGAGGATGGAGAGATGGGATAGGATAGCCTAGCCTAGGATCACATTCTAAAGTTCACTCACAGCCCGGTCCCAACTCACATCTGTAGCAATCCATGAGGCTGGGTGGAGACCCACTAAGCATCCTGCAAAGCAGGTCCCAGCAGGGGTGGGAAGAGGCTGCTGGGACACCCTGTGGAATTCCAAGATTGTTGAAACATCCTGTTCTTGATACAAATAAATAAATAAAACGAATGGCTCCTCACTGGACCCGGGGTGTGACTGAGATAGTGTGTGGGCTTTGTCCTAGAAACCTATGCCTAGCAGCCCAAAGAGGGTATATGGGGAAGGGAGGTGGCGGGGAGAGGGAAGGAAAGAGGAAAAGAGATGGGAGAGAGAGGGGAGATGGAAGAGAAGGAGGGGGAGGAAGAGGGAGAGGGGAGAGAGAGAAAGAACCCTTCAACTCCCAATTTCCAGGGGTTCTCTCGGTTGTTAGGTAGACAGGGCTCAATGTCCAAGGATGACACAAAGCTGAGATCTCAGCCATCCGTAGCCACCCTCCCGGGCCCAGGCAGCAGTCAGCTCAGAGCACCTGTCCCTTAGTCCTCTCCCCCTCTCCCAGCTCCTTTGCCACCGCCCAGATCTAAGGGAGGGGCCACTCCTCCCCCTGAGGCCAGTTGGGGGTCCGGCTAGGCCGCTCTGGCAGCTTTCAGAATGATCACCCTGTGTCGTAATTCCTCTGGCAAAGTACTTATCCCAGCTCCCCCGTGCTTCGAGGGATGGGATCTCTGTCTTTCTTTTTGGCAAGGGAACCGGGTCTCCGGCATCTTTGTAAGCACTTTCTCCGTATGCGCACACCCAAGTCTTGGTGTGATATTTATTCTTGTAGGCTGTCGAATATCTCCTCCATTCCTTTAATCTTCATTACCACGCAACAATCCAACTACCAAATGAGCCTGGACAAGGCATATTTAAACAGGAATGTTCCTGCTTCCCACTGCCCAGGCTGAGGTACTGGGGAAGTGTCTCCCACGACCCCCACCCCCCCACCCCGGGGCTGACTTCGTGCCTTTCCTTTTAGGAAAACAACGAGTTCTTTCCTGTGTTTTGAAAGCCAGAAGAACATGGTGCTTTGGTTCTGGTGACGCCCAGGGACACCTGAGCTGAGAGCATCTCTTTCCAGGGGGGCGGGCAGCATCAGGCAGGAAGGAGCCACCCGGATGAAAGCACAGACCCTCCCCTTTACCCCATGTAACTGTCAACAAAGCGCTGGCCCCTCAAAATGCCTAGACCAGACAGTCACAGCAAGACCGCCCTTACCTCAGTACAGCTGCCAGGAGCTCCATCCAGGACGTGAACCTGCAAACCCATGGGGTCTGCAAAGGAGAAACCCATGCCTGGGCTCACCAGTGTATGGGCAAGGTTAGCCATCAGCCCCACAGCTGAGCAGCAGAGGGGCCAGTTTCTGGACCGCACCATTTCCGTAAGTTTCAAGAGAAACCTCTGCAACCAGGAACAGTGAGAAGGGTAACGAACCCTCGGGAGACTCCACCAAGACTGAAGGATGGGTTTGAAGTCTAGAAGAGCACCTGCTATCCAGGTGACACCATGACTGATACTGTAGAAACGATCTCTGACATTGCTTCCTTCTGACCTGCCTGCCTTTGCCCTCTGGGTCTGTACCTGTTCTCCCAGCCAGCATCTGTCTCGGGGAACTGAGGCGTACCAAAGGGTCCTAGGGAGTACTGAGGGGGCACCGAGGGGCATTGAGGAGCACCGAGGAGTACTGAGGCCTGTGGGTGGGAGAGGAGTTTGTGCTCCTGGCAGAGGCAGGAACAAACCGCATGGGGGGGAAAAATACTGACTGTAGTGGGTTTCACTGCGGAAGGCTGGAGCCTGCAGCATCTCACCCCTGCCTGGAACAGCTTGTCACATACACTCAAGCCCGCAGCATCGGGGCAGTGTCAGGAATGCGCACTCGGTTTTGCGGATGTTTCTTCTGCACCACAGTCTTTATTTTTCATGTGCATATGAAGATCAAAGGTCAGTTTTGGTTTCTTCCTCCACACTGTCTTTTGTTTTGTTTCGTTTTGTTTTGGTTTGGTTTTTCGAGACAGGATTTCTCTGTATTGTTTTGGAGGCTGCCCTGGAACTCGCTCTGTAGACCAGGCTGGTCTGGAACTCACAGAGATCTGCCTGCCTCTGCCGCCCAAGTGCTGGGATTAAAGGCGTGCGCCACCACCACCCGGCTTCACCTTATCTTTTGAAACAAGGTCTCACACTGAACCTGGAGCTCACTGATTTGGCTAGGCTGGGATTATAGGTTCAGGTTGCCTGGGGTGCAGGCTCCAATGCTCTAGAGGAGGGGAGGCCGGATGGTCAGAAGTTCAAGGTTATTCTCAGCAACTTAGAGGCCAGCCTTGGTTACGTGAAACTCTGTCCTGGAAAAAAATCATCAACAGATAACCAATATTCTGTTCCCAAAATAGAATTTGTGTGTTTCGCCTCATTTCAACCTTCTATCATAAGTCCTCCTCTTATCTCATGGTTGGAAGTGATGATATGAAACAGAAGATGACTTTTGGGGGGAATAAGAAGATGGCTGAGTTCCTGGAACCAGTTTCTCAGCATGGCAATGGTGCACCTGCTCAAGCCTGAGGGCTTTTTATCATTTACTCTTATTCTCTGAAGTGCCAGGACGAGCTAGGGCATGCTGGGTAAGTGTTCTTTCTCTGACCCCTCAAGAGCTTTTTAAGCCTCACTTAGGCAATTCAGGCTCACCGCTAGCTGCTTCCCGGAGAGAGGGGCACTCCAGCTCTCTTTACAAAGGCATCACCAGGGTGGATAACTGAGCGTCAGCTTCTTCATCTCAAAAGCTTCCAGGAAAACTTCTGAAAATAAAAAAGGAGGAGGGGTAGGGACAAATACGACTAATTAGACAGTATTATTCTTATTGTACACCTGTCTGTGGTTTGCAGAATACTGTCCCCACCTGAGAACAAATGTCACAACAGAACAGTCAGAAGGGCTCTTTTGGAGGAGGGGGTGTTTGACTTAGAGGGAGGGTCTCATGGAGACCAGACTGGTCTCCATCTCACAGCAATCCTCCTGCCTCATCCTACCAGCTGGAGTCCTAGGTGTACGCCACCATGCTCAAGGGGACAGCTTGCACCACCTTTACTCCGAGGATTGTAATCAAGCGTAGCACTTCACTCCAAAGGCAGAAGGAGTCACTCCAGCGAGCTGAGGCCAGGATCCCGGCTTGACAGACAGAACCAGACACCCAGCGGAGGACACGGATACATTTCAACCTGCCTGACACACACGAGGCCCTAGGAAGGGGCGTCTGAGAAAGTGGTCATGTCAGAGTTATCTTCTCTGGCTGCAGAGATGGCTCAGGGGGTAAGGGCACTGGCTGCTTTTGTAAAAGACCCGGATACAGCTTCCAGCACCCACATGGGGAC